TTTTGTGCAAACTTCTCTATTTTAACTTTCACTCCACACTGTAAATAAAACATGTGATTGGAATTTCTTCCAACCTAAAGGTGAGTGAGCGTAGCGAAAGAACTTTAACCAGGACGTGATTGAGCCATGCGATCGAGCTCATCTTGAAAATTGAGAAGTTAAACGGGGCAAAGCCCGGGTACAGCTAGTTGAATTATAAAAAAATCATTTCAGGGTGCTGTGTTGGTATGTTTACTTTAATGTATCATGTATTATTAATATTTTTACTAGTGCACCTGTTGCTCGGATTTGAGCAATTGCAAAGTGTTTTTTGAACCCAGTGACAAGACCTGTATTATACAGTGATTATTTACCTATTTTGCCTGAAGGTCTTGTAGTTAACACTCGATTAACACTCGATGCGCATTTCGCCGCTCAGTGCGGCATCTTCATAGAGTATCTTCTTAAACACTACTGTTACTATGTACATATTTACAATATATTTTCCAGTCACTAAGGGCCATGTCATACGAGCGCTATTGCCGTCGCGCAGATGCCGTCGCGTTAAAGTCGCTCCAACCCGGCAATGGGGTTCTTATGGAGCATGTCATACGGACGCTAATGCCGTCGTCGAGTCCGCGTTAGCCGGACGCTGAGCGGTGCCAACGCGGACGGTCGCGTTAGCGACGCGGCGCACGTAACGCGCGACCCTGTCATACGAGCGCTAGCGCCAGCGGGACGCATTTGCCGCGTGAGCACTGTCAGAACAACTACTGGAACACCTTTGGAGTGATCATTACGATATTTGATACGATGTTTAATACGGAAAAATGTATTTATTTAGTTGAAAAACTGCTACCTCTGTACGATGTAAAGTCGAGTGATTACAGCAACAGGCAACTGAAGGCACAGTGCTGGAACGAGGATTGGGAGGCCATGCACGAAAACTGGAATCAGATGTGGAAATCAGTTTTACTTGTTTTATATTTAATAAAAATAATGCTGTCCCTTTGATTAAAATGATACTCTTCAAATGTATCTAAAATGTGCAAAAAGCTGATACAACCTAACTGGATGGTGTCCATCTTTGCCGTGACGGCAAATGCGCCCGGAAGCGGGACGGCATCAACGCGACGCATTTGCCGTCACGTATGACATGTACTTTTTCCGGCGCTATCTCGACGGCATCTGCGCGACGGCAACAGCGCTCGTATGACATGGCCCTAACCCATCCTAACCGGTCACATTCGCGGTCGCGGTGACTCCACTCCAGTTATCGAAACCGAAAACAAACGCTTTTGTGTGTATCATGTGTTTAGTATGAACAGCTGTAATTAATACAAATTATTCGTCTGTTAAATAAACAAAATCTTTTCTTCATAAGAAATACATTGGGATTTTGATGGCCTGTGGGGCAAAGCCCGAGAACTCTTATTACAGGAATTAGTGAAAGGGGGCGTCTACACAAAAAATATATAATTTTGACACATCGTTTTTTTAAATCCGTCCATTATTAACGGAGGAGTAGTGTTTCGTATAAATCACCTTCACATATTATATATAAGGATTACTTTTTGAGAAACCCAGATCTCTATGATACAACATCGGATTCTTGAAAGGTAGCAGACAATATTCTTCTTTATTCTGTATTCTTATTTTTTCAGAAACCATAGGCCTAGTTCATGAAACCAAATTGAATGAAACTTTTTCAATGAAAGAAAAAAGTTAACTTGGGAAGGTAACCTAAATATCCCTAGTGGAAGAGATCAATATATATCAATACAAAAATTGTATATTGATACGTATTGATACGTATGTGTATTTGGGCCAATACACATCAATACACATCAATACATATCAATACAAGTAAATAGGATCCGAGTCATTAGCTATTTTAGAATAATTTGTAGCTTGTTAAAAAACCATTTTTAATTTGTTTCAAAACATTAAATAATATCAACTATGCACTAAAAATAAAATAAAAATTAAAAAGTAAAAAAATTCTTGGCAAAAAGTTCAGTGAGATCCCGAGATTTGAACCGGGGACTCCAGCATGGAAGCTGGTTGTCTAGGCCCCTCGCCCACTATACGATTTCGGTCGTACGACACTGTGTCGGAACGACAACATTTCCACAGTGAACCATTGGATCTTATGAGAGCTCGCCCACTGTACGATAATCTCACGACTACGACAAACTGTCGTGAAGCAGTCGTCCACTGCCACTGTGATACACGACTGTCGTACGACTGTTTTACTCGCAGTGGCGTGTATGATCAAATGGGCGCTCGCCCACTATACGATTTTTATCGTATGTCGTGCGTTCTCCCCAGTAGTCTTATATATACTTTTTACAATTAACTCATACTTCATCATTATTATAGTTGTTATATCACTTTGCGTATTTCTTATCGTGAATAAATATTTTTTACAATTAATTCATTAATACTTTTTTTATTATAATGTTTGATATATCAATTGGTTTTATTTTGTTACCATTATTTTGCGTAATTTTGATCTTCCTATTTATTTTTGACAATTTGTTCATATTTTTCTTTATATTATGTTTAAATACTGCATCACTTATGAGTAAGTATACCAAAATAATTATTGAAAAAATGCGAGTTTGGCTATAATTTATTATTTTACTAGCTGTAACCCGCGGGCTTTGCCCCGTTTAACTTCTTAATTTTCAAGATTATCTCGTACGCATGGCTCAATCACGTCCTGGTTGAAGTTTGTTCGCTACGCTCACTCACCTTTAGGTTGGAGCTCGTTCGCTACGCTCACTCACCTTTAGGTTGGAGCTCGTTCGCTGCGCTCACTTGCCTTCAGGTTAGCTCGTTCGCTACGCTAACTCGCCTCCAGGTTGAAGTTCGTTCGCTACGCTCACTCACCTTTTGGTTGCAAATTAGCTGTTGTCATAAATGTAAAAGAAATAATAGTGCTGCACCCTGTTGGTAATCCTTGTAACTTTAATGCTATTGAACATCATAGAACAGAACCAACTTGTTTAATTGAAACAGCTGTTAAGATTCAATAATTCCATTTCTCATAAGGTTAACATGGGAAACTCCAGAGCCACTGGGGCGGAGCCCGAAAGGATTTTTGAAATAAGAATATGCCTATATGTTAATCGGGAATGTGAGCTATCATCATGCCAAATTTCAGCCCAATCCGACCAGTATTTTTCGAGTTTACTTTTCCCATACACACATACAGCAACCACCTCTTTTTTATAATAGTATAGATAATCTTAATTATTAATTATATTGTGTAAAAAAGTGTCACTAAAACCTATAAATATAATTTTTTGTAGATTATATTAATAAAATTAAATCATTAATATTTCAAAACTAATCCAAAAATGTTTAACATACATACTTTTTACCAGACCATCCCAAAACCCTATGATAGTTATGGTAAATTTAAAAACTTGTAAAAGGCATGGACTAATATAATTTGAAAATGTCTTTAAATACATTAACTTAAAAAATAATTTACACATAAAAATAAATGTTTCTTTAATGCTGTAGGCCTACATTGGTCACTATCGCTTAATCTACGCCGCAGCAGCCACATGGCAACAATACGTAACGGAATCATTGTTTTACTTTTTGATACAGAACCACTGTTTTAAGATATTGCGCAACACACCCACATCTCACTCTTCCAGGGCTACCGGGCAACTGGTCATTTATCCGACAAAGTGTCGTAAAGTGGGCGAGGACCACACATATGATAAGAATATCGTACGACACAGTGTCGTACGACCGAAATCGTATAGTGGGCGAGAGGCCTTAAGCCATTACACCACGGACGCTCCATGTTGGACTGTGTAATGATAGCCATTTTGAATGCGAGAAGCTGTGTTAGGCCTCATAATTAAACTTGAAAAAGATTTTCAATGGCATTTGTGTCATTTCAAGCATGTACCTAAATGCTTTTGCTTTCATGTTTCAAAACTGTTTTATTACCAGTTCAAACTGTTTTCTTGCTACTTGGGTGATATTAATAGTGTCAATACAATTTATTTTTATTAATTTCTAGAAATAAGGAATTCAATAATGAATTTGTGAGGGATTTTTATCCCTAACGATAACCCAATAAGCAAAAAAATTGTTTAAAGTTGTCGAAAGCTGTATTACAATAATTGTTAACAATTTTAAAACATTTTGATTTAAACTTCATATTACAACAATTTTGATATAAGATTGAAACAATTTTAAAATTGTTTGACAATAAGTTTTTTGGAGTTGAAAAAAATAAGTTTCAATACGAGCTGTAACTGTTTTACAACAATTTTAAAATTGTTTAACAACCACTTTTTTGAAGTTTAAGAAAATCAGTTTTAATACAAGTTGTAAACTGTTTTACAACAATTTTAATGTTTAGCAATCAGTTTTTGGCAGTTTAAAAAATAAGTTTTAATACAAGTTGTAACTGTTTTACAACAATTTTAAAATTATATATTTTTAAATTACCTATTTTGAGGTTTAGGTACCTCAGCTAACGCCTATGACCTAGAACTAGAGTTTTTCCTTTTTTAAAAAAATAACATTTTTATTACTGTTTATTTCACAAAGTTTACATTGGTATTTTGTATAATCCATAATGTTCATATGTGATACATTTTAGAGATATTTTGCATTTTATTTATCCGTATTGATGTCTATTGATTTATATTTACATCTAACATATTTAAAAAATATTCTCTATTGATATCAATGAACGATTTGTTTGCTCAAATGATCTATATTGATATATTTTATGTTTATAGATGTCTAGTGATATGTATTGACTAAGTTTTCAGTGATGTCTATTTGTTTGTATTTACTTGTAATGATATCCATGAACATCTATTGATATCACTAAGCATCTAGTGATATCAATAGATTTTTTCTATTGATTTCTATTGATGTCTTCCACTAGGGATGAGACACTCCTTGAAATTAATTTCATGGGTTAAGTTTGACTTCAACATTTCCTAGGCAATTCTCCACTAATTCAATGCATGTTTCAGCTCCAAACCAAAAGCACACCTAAAAGTGAACCGACAGAGGAAGTGGTGTATGAAGATGAGTACGATTATGATGACGAAGATGAATACGAATATGATGAGGACGATGAACGAAACACCAAAGCAACGGTGAAGAGAACGGTCGTGCAGAATGAGAACGGATCAAATGAGGAACAAACAAGGCACAAACGACAAATAGACATTCACGAGGAGAGGTATGTGCCTTCCACACCCCATCTACCTAGGACTAAGAGTGAAGGACTCAGGATATATGCCACATTTTTCGAAGGCAATAAACATTACAAACCATCAGATAAATCTACACAATTTAAGACCAGGTAATAGAAAGCATAGAAACAAACAACACTATTTATGGTGCACCAATACTCAAGATTAACACAGTTATATTTAAATAACGATTTTGATTATTGCACAATGCAAGTTCACAGTTGCACAGACTCTTTTATCCTTAACTTGTTAAAACTATTTCAAATTTTGTCAATCTACTTAGAATGTCATAATGCCTTTATAGATAAAGATTTAAAAAGTGGGTGTCAACCTAGTCTTTCCACTAACATATACATTTCAAAGACGAATATGACCTTTACTCCCACTAAAGTGCTAAAAGATAATTTGGAAATGTCCCTATAAATTACATTTAAATTCTAACCTGCATATTAATTTCTTTAGATTTAAGAACATTTTGTAACGGAATATTCATTAGGTACAATTGTAAAGTTAGCTATAAATAATTTACCATTTACTTAGGTGCTGTAACAGAGCATATTTTAAGGTTCCACTGGGCAACAGTGGCGCCGGACTTACTCCCCGAAAAAGTAAAAGAGGGCGGTCCGAGGTATTTTGGTATAAGTTAAAGTGAAAATCACACATTTCTACGTATCTTTTAATGAATTTTTTGATTATATTCTCTCGTAAGTAGTCCATATAATCTCACTTAATTACGTATTCTAGAACGTTGTAACAGGCCAAGGCTCCCTTCACAACCTCTTGGGCCAAAATCCTCCAAAATACTCTAAAATATTTACATAATGTTATTTTTTAATTTCCGATACATTTAAAATGTGTATCATAAAAAAATATGCCAGCACCACCCATAGTCATTGGGTGACAAAATCTCAGTTAATATGTTATTTTATGCCCTGTGCTGTAAGTGACTCATGACTCATTGCTTTTTTCAGCACATCATATTCAGCAGAGCAAGACGGTAAACCAGCTCCTCATAGGACCACGCCACCTCATCCTCCACTTTATCAGGTACTTGCCTTCGCTCCACTCTGAAACTTTAATGATTCAGGAATACCTCTGAAATATGTTTCATTCAGCCGTGAAAACTGTAGTTTATTTTCATGATTGGTAACATCTATGAAGCTTAAACACTCTAAAGTCCCAACAATTTGGTACATATTTAGCTATCATCAGTTTTCAAACTGTCAAATTGTCATGCTACGCAATAGTACGTAATCCTTTCAAACTGACTAAGAAGGAATTTCTAATAAAAGTTACCTTTGCCATGACTATACAAAAAGGCATATGGACAGACACTAACGAAGGAAGGGTTGCACGTGCCAGACTCTGTTTTTTTACACATTCAGTTTGTGTGACTTTGTCAATGATGAGCTTTTTCAGTGAAAACTATGTCCGTGTAAAAACAAAGCCGTCAAAACAAAAATCATATGGCCATATTATTACTTAACGGTGTTCAAACAGGTCCTGTAAAAATCTAAAAACTTAAATAATTATATATAAAAAAAGGTTATATCAAATGTAAACCGACATCTATTCCTGAAGTAAGAACTCATACTTTAATCAACGATGCACTTACTATGCATAATTAACTATGTTGTGTACCTCAATAATTAAAGAAGGATTCAGTGCGAAATAGTTCATACAGGTCGGCTAGTAATTACATAATGATATTAATGAATAATCCGAAAGGTTGAGCTGTACCAATCCTTGGAAATACTTTAATTTTAATTCGTGAAACAAACATGAACTTAAACAAGTTTAATTAAATTGTTTCTACTACAGGAAAGACCTCCAGAAACAGTGAGGTATAGACACAAAAACAGCAGAGCAAGAAGCAGACATGCAAGTGAGAGAGATTCGTCTGTAGAATACACGAGAGCTCTCTCTCAGCCAGAGAACTTTGCAGAACAATCTCTCTCTGTCGCAGCTCACTTCACTGGAGACACCTCCAGATACAACCAACGTGATCATCATCACTATTATGGTGAGAATCCCACATGGAACATTTGTGTCAGTTTTATTGTAAGTTGGGATTGAGAAGTGTGGAGTAATCCCTGAGAATGGCTCCAGCCTCAAATGGCAGGAAGCATCAGAAATACTGCGGTCTTTTGGTAAAAGGCATGAAGTTATTTTAGAACTTAATTGTCTTGAGGGTAGAATTGTACATAACCAACATTTGTACTGAAATTTAAAAAAAAAACTTTTGTAAAACTTATGACAGCTAGCCTGATAGTACTGGACCAAATTACATGTGTTTGGTAACCAAATGAAAGATACTTTCCTTTAGATGTGCAGGCAGAATCCCTTTAAAAATTAAAATTGGTTCAAAAATAAGCACCATTAATTAATTTAAAATAAAATAAAAACTAACATGGGCCTTACTTTGTTGCCATGTTGGGGATGAAATAACAACAAAATATAAACAGAAAATCAAAACAAGAAGAAGTTCCAATCACATGTTTTATTTACAGTGTAGGGTGAAAATAGAGAAGTTTGCACAATACATATAATTTTGGTTGAGTTTTTTTACCACAGGGCAAGCTGAACCATGCCCTCGAGCCTGCCCCCAGACTAACGAAATGGAAGCGTGATCCATGCGCAGGCCCGAGGAGCGGCTCACAAAACTTTACTTAACAAAATGAGAACCATGGATGGAGGTTCAAGAACAACACGCCATTTGAGAGAAACGAGCTGTAATTAACCATTAAAAAAATAAACAACAACAACATTAACAACAATACATGAAGTAAATACTCTCAATTAAAGTTTAAATAAATTTTTGTTACCAATTTGGCCTACTCACTTACAAAGGAACATTAATTTAAAAAATTCAAAATAGGCTAAATTCAGTCAAAGTAAATTTAATCAGTTTTAACCTTAGTAAAATAAAATTTGTAAAATTGCAACAATGAATATATAAAAATCTCTTCCTTTAAATAACTGGTAACAATTTAACATTTAGGGGCCCCAAAAAAGAAATTTAATTGGATAGGCTAATTAAAAGGTTATAAAAATATTTTAAGGATTAACAAATAATTAGGCTAGCTAAAATAAATTTTTAAAAAGAAATAACAAAACTAAACTCTGTAGGCTTCAACAATAATAACTTTAGATAGTCTCTTTCCTCTTTTTATGAATCCAACTATGATTTAAATATGTGGTGAAAACAAAGCAACAAGTAACTTGCGGTACGACGGATAACTAGTTCATGGGTCTTCAGGCGCACATCACAGGAGGGCTGCTGAAGTTCGACGGAGAGGGGGGTGGCCGGCCCGGATCCCAAAAGAGGGCCCCACTAAGAAGTGTTTCTCCGCCCATGCTCCAAACGTAGAAGGTTGACTTCAAACGGTAGTCCTCCTGGGCCCCAAAAGGCGCGCGTGGCGCACTTGAACTACTCCATAACCTCGCAGACTAAGCACAAATAAAAAAACTTAATTGACTTTGCATAAAACATGTGCCAAAAGGGCGATGTAAAACGATGGAAAAATGTCTGCGAGGTTAACTAGTTGATTGTCACGCAACCTCTGAAGTGCTTGGCGGTGGGAGTAATAAGAACAAAAACCCACAGCCTTGTTCGGGGTCGTGGAGTGACAACGAAACACTGAACTAGCCTACTATAAAAAAAACACTTGAACCATTGATCATGAGTCGTGACATTCGCCCGGTGGAAATAGTCACGGCTCAACCTCCCCCCCCAAAAGAGGACACTCCTCTCCAAAAGGGACAAACAAACAAGCCTCTCCCCCACTTCCTGAAAAGAAATTGACCTGAAAGACAACTCAGGTGTCTGTGGTGGGGAACGCCAAGGGACTTCCAAACTGAGGGGAAAACTCACCCCCAGGGTTTGCTCTGGCCAGAGCTGGAAAATTTTGTGAGGGAAATTCCTTCGCAGAACACAGGGGACAGGAGAAGTGATCAGGTTCTCTGGCCCAGTGCACTTCCCACCCAGACACAAGAGGAAAGAAAATTGCCTACGGAAGAGTTCCGCGGAAGGGCTTGAGATGAGAAATGTGCGCCCTCCGGAACACTTTTCCAGTCCGCGGATCTCCAAGCTCCGCCGTGACAGGCGTCAAAAACCTCAGGATGCGGTGGGGACCTGACCACCGATGACACAACTTTGCAGCTCTCTTGTCCACAGCCGAACTGGCTGGATGAGCTTTACAAAACACCAAATCCCCCACCTGGAAAGGGTTGTCTACTCTACCACGATTGTGCTTCCTCCGGACCAATTCCCTAGCTCTGATCAAGTTTCTCCTGGCCGCTTGCCAAGTTGCCTTGACATCAGCCGCACCAGGAGGTGGCAGAAGGTCGCCAATTCCCCACACATTCGCTAACGGGTTGTTAGGCGGATAGCCTAGAAACAGCTCGAAAGGGACCGCCTTGTGACTCTCATGGTGAGCAGTATTGAAAGCAAACTGAAGCCAAGGGAGTTCCTGATCCCAGGTGGTCTGCTTGTCAGCATGGAAAGCTATGAGAGCGGAGCGAAGATTGCGATTGAACCTTTCAGCATGAGAAGGCTGTGGATAGTAAGGGGAAGTAGTCACATGGCGGATTCCGTGCCCAAAGCACATTCTTTTGAACAGATGGGAAACAAACTGTGTTCCGTTGTCGGAAACAATGGTGGCGGGTATTCCAAAATGTTGGAAGAGGTGTGTTCGAAGTACCTGCACGGTGAGCTGTGCAGTGGCATTCCTTAAGGGAAAAAGCCAACAAAACTTGGAGAAGGCATCCACACAAACAAGTAGGAACTTATTTCCTGACTTGCTACGCGGGAGAGGCCCTACATAGTCAATGAAAACCTTCTCCAAAGGTCTTTCCGCCACCTCAGATGACAACAAACCAAACTTAGAGTTTTGAGCGGGCTTGCTCAGTGAGCACGTTTGACAAGAACGCACCCTAGCAGCAAGATCCCGATCCATACCCTTCCAGATGAACATTTCCCTAACCTTCGCAATGGTCTTGTGGATACCTAGATGCCCACCCACAGGAGAAGAATGAAAATACTCAAAGACCATAGGGATTAGGAGACTAGGCAGCACAACTTTAGGTTTACCTCGCTGCCGAGCGCGACAGCAAAGGGCACCCTGGGACAGAAAATATGGGGGGTGGGCTCCCCCATTTTGAAGCTCACCAATGATCTTTGCCAGCTCAGGATCCTTCAGCTGATGGGGAATGAAATCAGAAAAGGCGAGTGGAAACTCCAAGAGCACGGCACAACCCGGTTGCTCTTGGTCAGAAGGAGGATCGTCGGGTGAATGGTACATCCTAGATAGTGTGTCCGCAATCACATTCTGAGTGCCTCGAACGTGTTGCACTTGGAACTTAAGGGACGATATTTGGACAACCCAACGACCAATTTTCCCAAGCTGGCGTGGATGTGCAAGAAGCCACGAGAGTGCCTGGTTGTCGGTTTCCAATAAAAACTCCTTGTGCTCCAAAAAGCGTCTGAATTTATTGACTCCAAACACGACAGCCAAACACTCGAGTTCATACACAGAAGAGCTTTTCTTTTCGCAGGGACTCAAGGTGCGTGAGGCGTACGCAATTGGCTGCCTAACACCATCCACCTCTTGTGACAACACAGCCGCAATTGCGACGGAGGAAGCATCTGTTTGCAAGACAAAATTTTGATTGAAATCCGGCATCGCCAAAACAGGGGGCTGCATGATAGCCTCCTTGAGAAGGTCAAAAGACGTCTGCTGCGCTTCACCCCAGACAAACTTGGCGCCCTTCTTCCGAAGCTCATTGAGAGGAGCCGCCAATTCAGCAACATTGGGTATGAAGCGTCGGTAAAAACCTACCATGCCGATGAACCTAGCAATACCCTTGACATCTCTGGGAGGAGGAAACTCCCTGATAGCCTGGGTTCTAGCGGGGTCGATGCAGACGCCTCTATGAGAGATAAGATGACCAAGGAACGAAATTTCCGGCTTTGCAAAACTAACCTTGTCAGGATTCACGGTAAGGCCAGCCCTATTCAATCTACTCATGACTTCTTCAAGATGAATCAGGTGATCTTCAAAGCTCTCACTGTACACCAAGAGATCGTCGAGGTAATTGAACACAAACTTGAACTTGACATCATGAAAGATGGAATCAAGGAGTCTGGTGAGAGTCTGGGCCCCCACAGCAAGACCCATCGGAACTCTTGTGAACTGATACAAATTCCACGGAACGCAGAAAGCAGTGAGAGGTCGAGACTCAGGTTTCAAAGGAATCTGATGATAGGCCTGATTCAGATCAAAAACAGAAAAATACTTGGCCTTACCGAACCAATCAAACGCAGAATGCAAATCGGGGAGAGGCACAGAGTCGATTTCAATTTGCGCATTCAATTTGCGATAGTCCAAAACCATTCGGGACTTGCCATTGGGTTTTGGGACGAGAAAAGCTGGACTAGCGTAGCTCGAACGGGAAGGTTCAATGACACCATTTTCCAGAAGTTCGTCAATGATTTTTCTGAGAGTTTCCATTTTGGGTGGAGCTAATTTGTATGGGTGAGAGCGAACGGGACGGGTATCTGTTAGACGAATCTCGTACTCTAACAGGTTAGTGACTCCAAGCTTTGGCGTCAGCACATCTGGGAAACGAGAACACAAGGTTCTGATGGCTTCAGCCTCGCAAGTAGTCAGATGCCCTAACGGATCAATTGTTGGCTTGCTGGGTATCTCAGGCTCGACTACCGCAGCACCACCACCAATTTCATCAGCAAAAGATATTAATACCCGTCTCGCAAATCGGAAAAAACACTGACCTCTGCCTAAATCCAAAATTAGGCCAGTGTGCTTGATAAAATCCGCTCCCAAAATGACAGGGAAACAAAGGTCCTTAGCCACCCAAAAACTCCAAACCCAAGAAAAATGTTCAATTTTGAACTTGAAACGGGCTTCATAGATGATGGGAAGGGGTGAATTTGACGCAGTCCAGCAGATAGGGGTTTTTCGCTCAACTTGCTTGATAAGCCCAGACGATTCAAGTTTTTCAAAAAGGGACAAGGAAATGAGGCAACGGGCTGACCCAGAATCCACTAGGGCCTTCTGCACCGTGGAACCTATGAAGATGTTGAGACGTGGGCAAGTTGAGCGCGCCGCTTTCACGCCCATGGAAGCAAGGCCCGCAATCCCCCGCAGCAGAGGCTCGGTCACAGGCACAACACTCCCAGAAGGGGAGGCAACAGAAACATTAACTGACATTAACTTAGAATTCGACTTACTTGAAAAAACTTTCGAATTATTGCCCTTTACATTATCACCAACAACCTCACAGGAAGGATTGGGCAATTTTTCCTCCTGTGAGCAAACTAGTTTTTTGGACCACGTCCAAAATTTCCACCTTGACGGCAATGCCGCCGAATGTGACCTGGTTGCCCACAACCAAAACAAACAACAGGTTGCCTCTGCCACTGCGGCGGTTCAGGACCCAACACTCCCACGGGTGCTACGACAGCATGATGACCAGCTAGGGGAAGATGCCCCGCCGCTTGGTCTCTCTGAAAATCAGCGTCCTGGACAGATCTCGAAAGGATGGAAAGTCTGTCCAGATCCGCAAAAGATGAAGGCCGTGGTGCAAAAACCAGACGGGAGCGTTCCTCAGGCTTCAACCCCTGAAGCACAATGTCAATGAGCTCAAGCTCACTGATCCCCAAACGCAAGACCCTTTCCACCGTGCGAATGTCCCCCACGTACTGGCTGAGAGACTCGGCTGGCTGCTGAGGACGAAAAACTCTCTCAACTTTCAGCTTCTCCATGACCCGACGGGGCATGAAAAGCTCCAAAACTTCTTTATGAAAAACATCAAAGGTGACGCCTCTGCGCAAACAATCAAGCAATCTGTCCCCCAACGGTTTCAGACAGTATGGAGCAATGAGTTCCATCAAAGTTGCGTCTGACATGCCAGGGTATTCACGCATGCGCAAAACACTCTCCAGGAAAAAACAAAGACCATTCACATCTAACCCGTCCACCGGCCGGAAACCACTCAGGACAGAGGCAAGGGGATGGGGAAGTTTGCCATAGGAGTTAGAGATGGAAGGGGAACTATGAACTTGAGAAGGAAAGGGAGATGGGGACTGGACATTCAGCGTAGCCGCAGCCAAGGTGGACGTGTGAGAGGGGGACGGTGTGACATTTGCATTTGACATTTGAACATTTGCATTTGACATTTGAACATTTGCAGGCAACTGGAGCAGTGTACTTGGCGTAGGCGGAGCCTGGGGGGTACCCACTGGAGTCACATCAACTGACCTTGGTACTTCGTTTGAAATTTCCGAAGAACGGTTGTCTTCAAAAATTTCAACTTTCTCTTTGACAGACCTTCCTGCCTTAATACTCTCCAAAATACCTTCCAGCTCAAGGATTCTGGCCTCCACCCAACTCTTGTCTTCATCCTGGATTTCAGGTTGCCCCAAAACCAAGAGTAGACGCTTACGCCAGTGCGTCAGCTGTGTGATAGCCGAACCCTTAGCTGAGCCCATAGGCAAACTACTCCAACTATTAATTTCCCCACTTAGCTCTTCCATCCTCTCTTTACATGCCTCCAGTTCCTCATCCAAACTGAGAGACTCAACCCAAGCTTGAGGCATGCTAGCAATTTGTCTGAACTGTGTACGCAAAGTGCGTACATCAGTTCCAGGAGTCTCCCCCCGGGACCGCACCTCGTACACCAGCTCCGGCTTCCTCAAATATTCCGGCACAATTGACGCCATACCGAGTCTCAACCAGCACTTGACTCAAAATAACAGCCAACAAAATTTTTTCACAAAACAAACACAGAAATTTAATTCCTAAGGCTTCTGGACGTTGATGCCTACGCACCTGATGGGGCCCAAAAGAAGAACCTGCCCATTCATACCGCAAGTACCGCAAGAAAAAACCACAACTGAGCCACGAACGTACACACACACAAACATACACCGATACATACACTAGACAACACCTAACACTTGTGTGATGGGGTGTACACACAAACCTTTTTTTTTTTTTTTGAGAAATGACCATGCTTTTGACACTCTTGCTCCCGAAGGATGCAAGTCATTACCACCGATTCCACCCGGTGCCTCGGCCAAAGGGCGAGCTCCTAATAAAAAGTGTTTACGCCCCACCACAACACAACAAGGCCCTTTTCCAAAACTGCCAGGCCAGAACATTTCCAAGAAACCAATCCATCCACGGCTCTTCAAACAAAACAAAAATAGAACGTGGACAGTGATCGCATCCCTAAGTATCCGAGTCGTGAAACCAAGTTTCACGACAAGGCACCCAAGACGCAACCCACTAACCACGCTCTGCTACCAGATGAACCATGCCCTCGAGCCTGCCCCCAGACTAACGAAATGGAAGCGTGATCCATGCGCAGGCCCGAGGAGCGGCTCACAAAACTTTACTTAACAAAATGAGAACCATGGATGGAGGTTCAAGAACAACACGCCATTTGAGAGAAACGAGCTGTAATTAACCATTAAAAAAATAAACAACAACAACATTAACAACAATACATGAAGTAAATACTCTCAATTAAAGTTAAAATAAATTTGTGTTACCAATTTGGCCTACTCACTTACAAAGGAACATTAATTTAAAAAAATTCAAAATAGGCTAAATTCAGTCAAAGTAAATTTAATCAGTTTTAACCTTAGTAAAATAAAATTTGTAAAATTGCAACAATGAATATATAAAAATCTCTTCCTTTAAATAACTGGTAACAATTTAACATTTAGGGGCCCCAAAAAAGAAATTTAATTGGATAGGCTAATTAAAAGGTTATAAAAATATTTTAAGGATTAACAAATAATTAGGCTAGCTAAAATAAATTTTTAAAAAGAAATAACAAAACTAAACTCTGTAGGCTTCAACAATAATAACTTTAGATAGTCTCTTTCCTCTTTTTATGAATCCAACTATGATTTAAATATGTGGTGAAAACAAAACAACAAGTAACTTGCGGTACGACGGATAACTAGTTCATGGGTCTTCAGGCGCACATCACAGGAGGGCTGCTGAAGTTCGACGGAGAGGGGGGTGGCCGGCCCGGATCCCAAAAGAGGGCCCCACTAAGAAGTGTTTCTCCGCCCATGCTCCAAACGTAGAAGGTTGACTTCAAACGGTAGTCCTCCTGGGCCCCAAAAGGCGCGCGTGGCGCACTTGAACTACTCCATAACCTCGCAGACTAAGCACAAATAAAAAAACTTAATTGACTTTGCATAAAACATGTGCCAAAAGGGCGATGTAAAACGATGGAAAAATGTCTGCGAGGTTAACTAGTTGATTGTCACGCAACCTCTGAAGTGCTTGGCGGTGGGAGTAATAAGAACAAAAACCCACAGCCTTGTTCGGGGTCGTGGAGTGACAACGAAACACTGAACTAGCCTACTATAAAAAAAACACTTGAACCATTGATCATGAGTCGTGACATTCGCCCGGTGGAAATAGTCACGGCTCAAAGCTCTCATATTAGGTATAATTTCTTTACAAAACTTATGAGTAAACTTTGGGAAACCACAAGTCCACTAACACTCTGTATTTGCTGCTTTTAGTTGAAAGATCAATTATGTTTTTGTTCGGTTCACAGACAGTATACATTAATGGTACTGTAGTTTAAACAACACAGTACAGTAATTTAAAACAAATGGAACAACTCTTTTATTAACTAAAGGTTTAATCATTCAATATCCAAAGTATATCCACTTTAAATTCAAATCCATAATCAAGTAGAAAGGTACATATTTCAAAATGGAACACAGAAATAAATTTTATGATTCTTTTAGAGCGATAATTTTATATTTTATGGAATTGTAACACTACGGTATCTATTTTTAATGTACAAAGAAACGTTCTATTTCAACATTTTCTTTGATATCATTAGAGTTATTAAATAACATGTTATGGCTATCCCAACAACATTTTTTGTCAGAAAATAAAAATAGTAATTCAATTTATGAATTTAATATTATTATAATGGTTTTATTTCCAGGGAATGATTTATTGTATCATCCACACAACTTATTTAAGGATTGGTCACCTGCGAGTTGGATGACTGAAGAAGATAGAAGATTATTTCCTATTCAAGATGGGAAAGTAACAATTCAAAAGTCTGGCGTATATTTTGTGTATGCTCAGGTAATAAATAATACATCAATTAATTTACAAGTACAGTATAGAGCCTTTATTAACTGTCACCCTTGGGACCGGGAGCATGACAGGTAAGCGAGATCGAATAGACGGATAACAGAACGCTATAAAACCTGTAAAGAAACTTGATTAAAATGTTTTTGGAAGAAATTAAATCTTGTAAAAGTGAATAATACATATTTATATTTAAATTACTCACAAACAAGAGTAATGCAGAACTGTTTTTTTATGTTGTACTTGTTCAATGTTCGTACAGTGAAATAAAATAAAATGAAATTAAGTAACGGAGCTGGATGATGGATAACAGCGAGTGATGGTAAAAACGGTGATGGTTAATCGAGTTTCTACTGTAATAGGCCATGATGTAAAAATAATAGGGAGTAGAGTAGAGTATGTTAAACCTTAGTCTACAAAATAATGGTGAGGGAAAGGACGATCTGCATGATTTTAGTTTTTTGGATCTATAAAATTCGTATATGTATAATCTGTTCACCAAGCAAGTTCCTGAATATTTCAAAACCATTTACTTTCACGACAGATAAAAGTTTACTTAATTTATACGTCAAAGATTGATTCACATTCATATTAATTTGAGATGGGGACGCCACCTATGTGCTATTTTAACCCAAATATAATTGAATGTAGTGTGCTGGCTTGTGTAGCTTTGTTTACTGACTAAGACCAACTGACCAGCTGTTTCATTAGTGAAGACCATTTATTGAAGGACAGCTGGGTCCAGTTTTCAAAGATACACACACTTTTTTCAGGATCGAACCGGCGACTTTTTCATTACTAGGCGAGCAATAAAACCCCTGAACTACCTTAACTCATAAGATATCAGTCAGAAGTGTGGCAAAGTGCCACTTCGCCCACTAGTTACACAAATAACTATTTTGTAATTTAATATTAAAGCAGATAATTTTTAGACGGATGGCATTTGCATGGTCCTACACCCAACATAAATAAAGATTTCTATTACACTCTACTCAAATCAATCAGTTTACCAATAGACTCTGTCAAACATTATCTCTACAATCTAAGAATTTTTAACAAAGCAATCCAAACGTGATTTCAGATTTTCTACTCAGCCACTCACAACCATTGTGGATTCCACATAAACCACAACGACCACGAGGTTGCCCAATGTACGACTTCCACTGCAGGCCCTGGGCTGAAACGCAACACCTGCTTCACGGCTCTGGTCCTTCGACTGGAGAGACAAGACCTTCTCTGGGTTAAGGAAGTAGAGGGTCACAGGAACACAAGCTTTAGACACTCCCACAGCTACTTCGGCCTGATCATGCTTGGAAGCAGATTTGACAGATAGCCGAGACTGAAGACTGCATCGCTCTCTGAGATCTTGTTGAGAACACTGGAAGGGGTTCAGAACCAATTGGAAAGTGTCTCTTCAGGGACTTTGTCTTTCTTAATAGTATTCTGTGTATATTTTTACTTTATTATCCGGTAAATTAAATTTTGTATAAAGAATCTTGTGAGTTTTGTGGCCAAGTGTAAGTGATGTGAAAATAATTTGTTGTTGTTGCAAACTGCCACAAAAAGTAGAAATAGTATTAGACGACATTGATAGTTACTTACCTTGTGGATCACTTGTGAATTTGATTGAAAATGCTTTAAACTTGAGTTATTCCAAGAAATTTATTTCTTTGACTATTTTTAGAACTAGGCATTCAACCCCCATGTTGGAAGTTAGTGTACTGAGTACTAATGTAAATGACTGTATACCAAACACAAAAATAATTTACAAAAACAATCGTTGTTAACCAAGTCAAACGGATAAGATGATCTATTCCATCTATATCATCTTTGATGTCACATCAACTATATCAGAAACAAAACCTAAGGGAGAAAATAAAGTTTTATAGATAGTAGTAGTAGAACATTCTGTGAATGGCTCATTTAGCTGTATTCTTTTTGGACCCTCATACAGGGGACAGGGACATAGGAACTTGATAGGACTGAACAAACAAATTGAGTATTCATCCTTTATTTACAGTATTTTTCCAAATACGACACGTGTTGTCTTTGGACGCTGTGATTATAGTGTCTCCATAGTAGCTGAAAGCACAAGAGAAGACATCGTCGGAATGTCCCTCTAGTATCTGAAGACATTGTCCTGTGCCAGGATCCCACAGTCGAGCTGTGTGGTCCTGGGACGCAGTCAGTACTGCGGTGCCTGCAGGATTGAAGCATACCTGAAAGAGAAACATATTGTATTGTAAAATTTACCACTTTACAAGATGAATATGTTCTAAATACAACAGTAATTTGTGTAACTAGTGGGCGAAGTGGCACTTTGTTGCACATGAGAGAAATGTTTACTCGAGCAAAGTTTCTCAAGTGCAGCAAAGTCAATTTTGCATTACACATTATATTTTTCCTACAGTCAGGGCCACCCTGTGGCCAGAGGTAGCCATGGAATAAAAAATATTTAACAACGTTATATAGTTAAAATAAGGAGTATTTTACAGGAAAATCCTAAACAGGTGATCAATAACAATCACTATTCTAAAAAGAGCAATCTATAAGCTTGGGTTTAGTCATAAAATATGTAAGTTAGAGCTATCGACTTTCAAAAAATTGGGACGTTCGGATATTCGGACTCGGACATCAACGTATGTCTTGTTAAGCATAAGTAGAATTCCTCAGTATGGGTAAAAAGTTTATAATTTGAGCTACAAACAACATTTGCCAATGTAGAAGCTATCATCGAGATCTTGCATATCTGACCATATCAGTTTATCACTAAGACCGTCTTTAGTTAATGTACATTGATCAGTAAAGCAAAGCACCTGCACACTCAGGCATATAAGCAAAGCATTGAAAAGGGAATTTAATCTACTACAATGTTTGATCAGTGAATTGCACAACAATACACTCTGTAGAGGAATTTTTAATGACACACTTTGCATACATACATAAGGTTTTGAATCATCAAATATTTACTGAATTTCATTGTTAATTCATTATTTTAATTAGGTGACCATACACTCTGTTCTTGACCTTCGGATTATGGAAACTATTTCCACTCAGCTAATAATATTTCTACTAATCTAGAAAACTCAAACTGTCGGCCCTCTTAGTGAAGGAGAAATGTATCTTAAACAAAAATCTCCCTCTTCAAAATTGTAGACAAACAATTCTTTTTTTATAAGAACTTATTTAAAACTTCGCTTTTGAAAACCGTTTGATGACAAATACCTTGGAGACCTCTTGTGAGTGACCGGACAGAGTGGAGACCAAGGTACAATCCTGCTTCACGTTCCACAGACAGACGGTGGAGTCACTACTGGCCGTGGCTAACTGTCGGCTACGCAGATCCACCGATACATCAAGCACCTGCATGAGTGTTTTTTTTAGATTAATACACACTGTAAGCTTTAAAAGAATGCTTTATTTGATCACAGATTACTTCTTGTTAAGGCAATGCTCACTTCCTTTCACAGTTAAAGTCGATAAAAAGAACCGAACAGCAGAGAGCGAAAGATTGTGACAGTCACTCTGTACAAACACGGAGCAAATCAACTGCAAAACTGTGAGGAGTTCTACAGTAGACTCCCTCTTATCCGGACTCCTCGGGACCGAGGCCAGTCCGGATAACGGGTTTTCCGATTAAACCGATGTCCCTAAAAACTCGTATAAATGGACCATTTACTGTGATATTTGATTAAAATTTAGGAGAGCATTGTATTTAGACACGTAATTACTGGTCTCAAATCTTTCCTGCGAGAACAGTGGTTTCAGTACCGCCCACTTCCTGCCGATCTAGTCCGGTTAAACTAATGTAATGATTTTCCGGTTAAAGAGATGTCATTTCTGCCGAGTGTAGTCCTGTTAAACCGATGTCCGGTTAAAAGGTGTCCGGATAAGAGGGAGTCTGCTGTGTACTAACTTGAATCAAGATACCTACGTAGACAGTCATCTATAGTAACCAGTTTTCATCTAAAGAGAAAGTTAGCTAAATTAAGCAACACATAAAATCTGATTACCTCATCCTGATGTCCTCTAGTGCAGTGTACACACGTGAGGGTCCTGACATCCCAGATCCTGGCAGACTTGTCCAAGGACCCACTCACTACCAGACTCTCATCATGACTGAACAAACAGCTGCTGATCTCTGCCTCATGACCACTCAGCGTTCCTACTTTGCTGGAACAAAAATCATGTGTAACTTAAATCGGTTCTATCTTCCTGTCCCAAGCGCATAAATATTGAAAATAGAGAAGTGTAAAACCTTAACCTTATATTTATTTTCAAAGAACAGGGAAAACATGTTATCCAATTTTCTGAATTGAAGAAGCCAATGTGGATAGAGGAATGACAAGGAATCATCTCAAGAAGGCTGTGTTTAGACCATATGTCTAGATTGTGGAGACAATCCACTAATCCAGTGAATGTTGGAGGTGGAATAGCAGCATTTTTGAGCGAATGAGTTTCAATAACTCTTTCTAAAAACTTGCAGCTAAGTGTTGATTTTAACAATGATTTCATTATCACATCAATGTTACATATGACCATTGACTTTAATTACTGCAAATAGACTTTCCAATAGTATCTTGCACAATTGTAAAATTGTATGCTTATTGTGATGTGCTTTCATCAGACCTTATTTTAAGGGATTTCCAATGGGCGACAGTGGCGCCAGACTTACCGGGGGTCTAGGGGGTATGGAATAAACCCCCTATCAAAAAGGGGGGTCCGAGGGCCCCCCCCCCCCCGAAAATCTTTGCATGACTTAATTTGAAAATCACATATTTATATGTATCATTTAATGCCTTTTTCTATTATATTTGCTTATAAATCCACAAATGCCTTCCATAACCAGTAGTTGAAGGCAACGTTGTCAATGTAGTTCTACGAGGTGATAATGCTTACCAACCAAGGCAGCAACCCAAAGCCTCTAAAAACCCTCAACAGTTAAACACAGTGTTTGACATTGCATTTCACCTTCTGTACATAAATAGACACAAAGTGAATGCAAAATAAAACAATTTTTTTCACAAATTAACAATCTATGAATATTTACCCGTTAGTCCTCGTATCCCAAAGCACTAGAGTGTTATCGAATGAGCCAGTCAGTAGAAGAGTCCCGGAGTGATTGTATTGTAGACTGATAATCTCCCCACTGTGACCCTGCAGGACAGACACTTCCTGCCCTTTAAAATATAAAATGAGTTGTCAGGTGAAAACTCGATGTGAGTCATAAAATCCCAACTTCATAAACATACTCCATAGACTTTTTATCCTGGATCAGCTGAAGACAATTTTATTTCCAGCTATTTTATATTCATCCTACACTAATATTATAAGTGAGAAAGTTTGGATGAATGGATGGATGTTTGTGACAAGTTAACGCGAAAAATACTAAACTGACAGGGTTGAAATTTGGTATGATGAAAGCTCACATTCCCGATTTGCATATAGATAAATTAAAAGAACCAAATTTTCTTAAACAGTGTCCTCTCCCATAACAGCAATAAGCATTTTATACTTATATATGCTAGCCCCGTACGAAGGACTATTTATTTATTTTTGTATTACCAACTTGGTACTTTTGGTGGATTACTGATTAAAAGTCAATGACTTGGATTGAGGGAACTATATTATAGATGTGAAAGTTTGAAGTATCTTAATATCGTGACAACTACTTTACAATAGGTGACAGTACAAAAATAGCACTAAGCACTCAAATGAAAATATTACAAATCTGATTAGAATTCACTAAAATTAACTTGTCTGTCTAAGTTTGAGTTGTGAGAGTTGAATCCTTTGATTTTATATTGTACTGTGCATATTAGACGTAGTATTACCTGTTGACAAGTTAAACAGTCGCGCTGTGGTATCCATGGAAGCAGTGGCAATCAGCTGTTTCTGAGGGTCAAACTGAACTGAGACAACTTCCCCTGAGTGACCTGAGAAACTCTGCTTGCACTCTCCTGTCTCCACAGACCATAGCAGCGCCGTCTTGTCAAACGACCCTGTCAGAATTTTGTCTCTGGCAACAAAATATAGATTTTTCAATAATATTTAGCGCCTTGAAAAATGGTGTACATAAACATGTTATCAGTGAGTTTAAACTTATGTGCTTTACAGTTAGCAGCTTCTATGTGTCAAAGAGTGCAATGGAACTATGTAACTCTAAACTCTACTATATTTTGATCAAATTTAGAAAATACATTCATTTCTTACTAAACTACAGTATTAACATTCTACAATAAAAAACACTTTTTTACTCTCCCTGTTGCAGCAAACCTAAGTACTTGTTAAACTATTTAAATAAGAAATATACATGTTTTTTTAAGGAGACATTTGAGGTTAAATCCAATCAGGCAAATGGAAATTCGCTAAGTCTGCAGGTTTGCTACGGTGGGGGTATTTTAAATCTTTGCCGGACAAATAATAACAGTAATCGTAGTGGTATTTAGCTTCAGTGTCATCTGGACTCCGTGTACTGATTCCAAAAATTAACTTGCAACCTTCTGGCACTGTGCTCCCTTTCGGGTTGGAACGGATGAAGTTCCCTATTTTCCCGGCATTCGCAATGACCATCAACAAAGTGCAAGGACAGTCAAGGCAAAGTTGTAGCATTTCTTCCGAAACCTGTGTTTGGACACGGCCAGTTCTACGTTGCTGCCATTATAGCAAGGTCTTTTGCTGGGCTACGGTTCTTTGTAGAAGACACTTCTGAGCAGTGTCGCTTAAGAAATGATCATTGTGTTTACACTTTTATCGTGAAATAATTTTAAATATAAAATTTACTGTTAAAGAATATAAAATGTTTATTTATTATACCAGTGAGATTATGAGTTCTAAGTTCCAGGTTCTTTCTGAAATAAAAAGCTTTGACATTCACTGAGAATTCGAGGAAATAGAGGAGAAATGGAGACTAATAACGTGCTTATAGGCATATCGGTCATAGGCAGCGCCATCCTTCAGTAAGTTGAAACAGCTGCATTTGGAAACTGTTCTACGTAGTTTAGTAAAATCACACATTTAGTGCGACACCGTGACGTCCTAGTTATAAAATTAACAGCTGGGTAAGTGAGTAGTTACACAGTTCTCCTAGTAATAAGAAGTAGTAATGTTCAATAATGAGAAAAGTCACTATCTTTTTAATGTTTTGTAACTAAACTCATGTTGGGGTCTCATTGATCAATTAGCAGTAATAATAAATGATTCTGACAAAGGAAAAGCTGGTATATTTGCCATTGACAGAGCTACGATTCTACGCATTGTGTCTTAATATAATGGTGTGATAATTATAGTAGGCTATAGTTATATAAACTTCAAGCAAAATTCTCTCATAAAAGGAGTACCTACAGGTAACAGAGTAGTAGAAATACTTACCCTTGATTGTTGAAAGCAACGGCATATACAACATTCTTGTGGCCGTGAAGAGTGTGAATCTCTGACCCAGATTCAATGTCCCACACTTTGCAAGTTCTGTCATAGCTGCCAGTCAAACACCTGCAGCATGTGTGATGCACTTGTACTACATTTTAAAACACTAATACCTCCTAGACATTCCATCCCCATGTTAAATTTGTAGCAATACACTACACTAACACCTTAATGACAAATAACTATACATAATGTCTGGGTCTTATCATATAGATCTATCATGTAAAAAAAAAAAAAAACATACAGAAGTGTCAACCAGGACCAAGGACAAATAATCATCCTCTTGCTGGGTTTACATATAGAGAGATGATGCACAGCTTCTGCATGCTACTGCTTTGGCTCTAGTATATTCTACGACTGAATAGTCGACTCCGCTACTGTGTAGATGAATATTGTTATGCTTTTGTTTGACAATGTCCAACTAAATACACATGAGAGAGACAAAGGTCTTGCTCATAGCATCTTGTCTCTCATGGTTCTTGGCAAATATCAGCCCAGAGAAATAATACACAGAGAGGCTCCTACTTAAGTAGTTCATATTTAGATACTGAGTCGACCTATACTATTTTCATCATGGTAAAAAGCATTGTGATCATATATCCTGATACTAAAGTGGAATGAACCTTCTACTGCACAACAGTTTTTGCAGGTGGGTAGTGTAACTAATGGATGTTGAAATGGAGAAATTACAAGACATTAGTTTGTTTATTATCAGCTGTATTGTAACATGGTCTTAGAATCAAATGAATCACATGGAAAATTTATTCCTCTAATATAGCTATGTCTGATGGATCGCACACAGTGTTTTTATAGTACACATGAAGGATGGACACCAATGGCTTAACATTTTTCCGAGGAAAAAATTCTTCTGTGGTTTTTTTAAGATCAATGCTTGTGTAAGTACATTTTAATGAAGATTTACTACTTAATTTATTTTGTTGAAGAAGCCATGTGTTGTATAAAGTGTATGTAGATTAAATGCAGTGTTTGTGAATAAAATGATTGTTACAATATACAGTACTCACTTCTTCCCAAACTTGTCAAAAGCAACGTTTGTGATGGGCAGTAGGTGTGTTTTCAGTGTCTTGTGGCGGTAAAACTTTTGAACTGTAGTGTTGAATATCTTCTCTTGCAGACGTCCGAGAGAGTCCACTAGCTGGTGATGAATGTTAGGAGTTATAAGAGGCTCTCCCTTGGCAACTTTGAATGCGAGCTCTTCTATATCTGTACTGAAAAGGATAAGTATATGATGAAATACGAGATATCCTTGACCAACAAATAATATGGTGATATAAAAATATGCAGAACCTGGACACTATCATTGCCTATATGTACACTATACTATGTCTGATCAAGGCATCACAAAGTTATAAAACTTATTCAAAGGTTTATTACGGACATTTTCCATCACGATGGCATTGACTTTATATCTACACAAATATTAACAGTGTATACACCTGTATTGTCGTTGTTCATTAGATAAAAGGTTACCCGTTGCGTCTCGGACTTCGATTGGAAAGGGACGGGTTTGCTCCCCAGCACATCCACAACACATGGATTTGGATGGCATTCTCTAAAAGTGTCTAAGTACTTCCTCTTGTGATTTCTCATGTAAAAATGCCACCAATGCAGATACAAAGAAAAAAATTCCAAAATATCTTGTTTAAACATTCCTTTAGGTGAAATCCATAAGTGTAAGTGTTTTTAAATGTTTAGAAACATTCTCTAGAACAAAACAATCAAAAAATTGTCTGTGAAGTAACAGTTTTTGATGTGTTGTGTGCAGTTGGAGTTAAATTGCATGACTTACTTTATGTGTCTCATATTTATTAATTTTACACATTAACAGTGTGAATTATCTTTAACATAACTATTATCGGTTTGCCAAAAGAGCATACAAACTTAAAAGTTCTGACTTTTCATATGGCAATAGACAGCAAATTTCAGATACCTAACATATTTAGAAACTGACATATTTCCTCAGTCTAAATCCAAACAATTCTTCAACAAGCCATCTCACCTGCTACTTAGATCACTTAAGTCAATTTCTTTGATTTTCACACATCCTCCTTGTGTGTATTCCAGTCCTATACCTGTAAAATGATGAATTAAACTGTAGAATATTACTGGAAATATCAAAGTCTGAAGCCTACCTTAGCTCCATACACATCCAACTTCACTACGAAACTCTTGGTTTCCATACATAACTTTTGATTGAGACTCAAATTTTTGCCAATGGTTACCTATAGAGTTTTGGGTGGGAAAAAATATACATATGAATTTGAAAGGTTTACACAGCGTTTTGTCTTCAAGCTAAGTGCAAAAAACCCATAGGTGGCTGACATGCCCAGGCACAAGGACCCCAACTTAATCAAACAAAGACTCCAAAGGCTGGTACGTTATCATCACGAATAAAATATAACAAAACCATCAAAAAAAACATATTTGCTAAATGTTACAAACTTAGCAAACTTATCTACTAGGCTGGAGAATTATAAATTGTACTAATATTGATACCCTATTGTGTTGGACAAGAGGCCTGATCAGTGGTAACTTGGTAAAGTAATTCTACGGCAGGGGTTCGAATCCTTCTTGATCAAATCTGGTGTGCAACTCATCAGGATATTACCTCTAGTAAGGCAATTTGCTACATTTTACCTATCTTTACTGTGTGTATAAGGATAAACACAAACTTACCAGACTTTTTTTATTGGAAAACATGCATTATTCCTTCAAATGACTATCCCTTGGTTTCCAATAGTGAAAAAAATCATACCATCTTTATACAAATTACAGCACCGTAACCAAATGCCTTTGGCGCTAAATAAAACGTAAGAAAGTTTTTTTAGCAAGGTTTCGAAAGCATATAAAAGCCATTGCAGAATTGTGTTAAGATTACACATGGCTATTTTAAATATACTACTACGTCTTATTCTAGTTTTTAGCAGAATAGGCTATATGTTAAGTAAAAAAAATAATTTTGTTTATTTACAGTACGGTATTTTAATCTTTTTAAGATAGTCAATCGTTCTTTATAACGTATGTGTTACCATCTAAAAAAATGCTTGAATAGTAAAAAAGAGCTATATTTTTAAGGTTTTCAAATATTTTGACAGCTATGGTGCTAATTTGTCAGTAGACAGCTTAACGCTGATTCTGTCATACAAAAAGCGTAGAATATAAGTTCACAAACTAAAACATTTCAATTACCTGGAGGAAAATATCGCAGCATTATTTTCTTCAACCTCATCTTATCTATGTCATTGTTATAAATTTTTGATTATTTTACAGGAAGCAAATATTTAGAGTCTGAAAAATGACTCATTACACTTAAGGAAACAATAAATACACCAGAAAAATTTTGAATCTTCATTATACGAAATACACAGACCCGTCACAGTATTGAAATATACACACCAAGAGCCAATTTAGAAAAATGTGTAGCAAAACTTAAACATACTATAAAACTATTGATTATCTTTTAATATAACCTATTCACGAGTGTTTTGATTTGTTCAGCTGCTACAGAGAAACATTATTGATGTAGCAGACAGTTTGTTGCCTGGGAAACAAGTCAGGCTGCTGACTGATTACAGTTGCTACAAATAAAAATAAATATTAAGCACTATATAAAATAAATAACAAATAAACAACATTCAATGAATCAAATATTTTAACTTCCGTCGTTCGTTTTGAAAATAAATGACTAACTTAGTAGCAGTCGAAAATAGTCAACAGAAGTTCAACTGAGGAATTGTGGACGTCAAGGTATGTAACCTGTTGTATTTAAAGCCTTTATTGACTCTATTCAGCACATGTTCTTTGAGTATAACGAAAAAAGAATGATTTTATTTGAACAAAGACAAACACTTATACACATTTTTATTTTTTTTTATTTTCTAACATTATAATTTTGCTATTTATAAATTAAAATTTCTGCTGAGGAGTATGGAAAACAGCAGTAACTCCAATGGCCCAATCCTTAGCAAGATCAAGCAAGACCCAGCATCTACAACAGAATTAACATTCAGGTAAACCATTGGCTTTTAGCTTTTAAAAAGCTTTTAGAGCCACAGTGAAAGCATATATAAAACATACTCCCTTAGTAGATTTCTCATTCTTATGGATCTGCTGAAGACAATTTTATTGTTAGTTCCGTCCAGTGCACTGTTAGCTGAGGTCGAGCTTTGTTTTGTTTCTTATAATTCCAGTAATTTAAAACATTGTTTAACCAAATAAAATGATTAAACAATAACTCGAACCCTAGTTAAATAACCAAACCGTAAATCCTAAATCATAATACTAACCCTAACATAATATAACCAAAATTTCGTTGACACTAGAGTGAATAGTGTCACCAACATGTACTAGACTCCAAAAACTAGCTTCACAATTTACAATGAGATAACAGTCTACTTGTGTTGGTTAGTCTGGTAAAATCCTTTAGAGTCAAATTTTCTATGAAAACAAACTCTTATTCTCCAGTTTTCTATCCATATTTTATTTAATCTACTCTATTGTGAATTTGTGATTTTATTTAGTAGAAATAGGACATATAAAATCAAAGAGTAGTGCTATACTGTACGAGTTACGAGTACATACTATGTAATGGCATTGATTATTGGATACTGAAGGTCAAGCAGGAGTCAAGTCTGCAAGAAAGTTAAAAGTGTTCAGGTGAGCCCCGGGAATTTTGTATTTATGTAGGTATATTTACACCTAATTTTATCAGTTTCCCCCACTGAATTTTTCTATGAAAGAGTAAACTTTTAAGTTGAATTGTAAAGAAATTAAACTATTCAGACTAAGGAAATATTGTTTACTTGCACGGCCAACTGTCGCAATGTTTTCATAATTCTGGACCGATCTGTCTCTAAATCCTTCATCCCATCCCTTTAACTCATACCTTTATGCACACCAATAGGTTGTTGGTAGCCTACAATGAGTTTATAAATTAAATCACTGTAAAAATATCTCTTAAAAGATGTGCACACACTAAAACTCTAATTGGAAAAATTTTAAATTAATTTTAATATTAATCCATTGTTTTATTTGACTTAAAATTCATTTTTCCGTAATTTTACTTTATTACTATTTTAAATTGATGAATTTAGAGATTTACTTACTCTTCTCTCCTCCTGGAGTTATCCAAGGATCAAATGTGATATCATCTTTAAACTTCGTTTCTAGGAAAGTTTTGTTAGCGTCAATCACATAAAACTCCCAGAATGTTTGGAAGTAGCTGAGACGTACCACGACCATGAAAGCCCTATCAACATCTTTCTTGGACAGGTAAGTGGTAAACTGAAATAATGAGATTCAGTAATTCCATAAATGTTCAGAAACATATTTCTAGAGGCACAGTTTGAACCCCTTTAAGAGGGTTTCACCCACCGGCTGGTTACCACGTAAACATGGTCCTACAAAAAAGAATCTTGCTACATTAAAGTGTTTATTGAGTTGAAATGAACTGTAAAATATTCACAAAGATCCACACTATGCCCTGGATGAACTGAAACTTTGTAATTGTTTTTGTAAGTATTTATAAAATCATTTTGCAAATCTGCGTAAATTAGTCTTTTTACAAGTGATTTTAGCTTCTAAATAATAGTTAAACATCAATTTACCCCCATCCATTGCAAGCTCTGATATGTTAAGAGCACAAAAAAACATACAATCATTGGTAACAAATTAGTTTTAGAGTGTTGAGAGCTTGAGGTGTATAGTCAATGCTTGTACCGTAGAGGAATATTTAGAAACATTAGCAAGTGTAGCCGCCATCTTGAATTGACCGGGTAGAACCCTCTTAAGAATAGGTGCGAGAGGTCCACTTTAAAAAAATAAAAACTAAATTGTTAACATCTTGGGAGGATTCAATACTTTTTAAGAGAGCGCAACAATTAAAGACCCACTGTAGTGGAAATCAAAAGTAGACTGTTGAGATGGTTTGGGCATACTATGAGAAGACAGCAAAACTCCGTAGTAAAGAACATACTTGATAGAAACCCCGAAGGCAGAAGACCACCAGGACGGCCTAAGCTAAGATGTCTGGATCAAGTTCAAAAAGATATATAAGATTGGGAAGAAGTTAAAATGAAGCTCAAGAAAGAGAGACCAGCAGTGCGTGGGCGACGCCAAGTACCTCTTATGGTACCAGTGGCCACTCCAGTAAGTAGTAAGTATTTGTGTTCTTGAAAATTAGAGAAAACGGAACATTGGCAAAGTCATCCCAATATTTCCTGTGGCATTTATAAGGAAGCATTGTAAATGAAGAATCCAAAATAAAAGTGAGTCTAGATGTTCACTCCCCACGCTACTGATAAATTAAAAAAATGTGAGCTCTACAAAATGTTTAACAAGCTACCGTGTCATCCAGCTCATCTCCTTTTAATGTCGGAGTATAAATCCTTGTGATTTCTGTAATGTCTGTGGTACAGTTGGAGTAATAACTGACACATGATTAGGTAAATGGAGATTACGATGGAATGTGAGCTCAAGATATTTAATCAATGCTTAAACTGTTTCAATCCACACAAATCATCGCATTACCTGCATCAGCCCAGTAACGTAATTCTTCTTGTCCACCAGTAAAGCCCCTTCCCAAAGACGAAAGTTTTTCTCTGAGGACATATAACGGACAGCACAGAATTGTTCCTTAAACTCTACTAGAGCGTAATGTGAACATTGTGTTGAGCTTAAACTCTTTACAGGAAACACTCTGAAAGTTAAAATATATGTCATGCAGTAACCATTTTATCTTATAATTACTAATGTTTGCCAAATGTATGGTTGCCAGTAGAAAGATAGTAATAGTTAAGTAATAATAAATTTAATGTATGCATTTATCATAATGTCTTCATGATAATTTTCTGTGATCGCGGCTATTTCAAGATCTTCTCCCGCTATTGTGGCAAAATTTTTGAATATTTTCAATGTACAGTGATCACAGCAAAACAAGGAGACTCTAGCAATTGTGATCCCAGCGACATTGTGATGTTGCGACAAACAAAAATTAATTGTGAACAGCAAAATTATATTGCAAGGGTTACAGTAATAAAGTGTATAAATTTATCAAAACACTTTTTAGGAATACTTAACTTTATAAATGATCAATGGCAATTTTTATGTAAAATAAAATCTCAATCAAAAATTCCACAGGCTCAATTTTGTGTTTGCTTTAATCATAGATTAAACACTTAGGGAGTATGTTTAATCTATGATTTAATTCCTTCCTCTCACTTCTGATTCCTCATGTATAGTTGTAGTGCTAAGTTTACAGCATTGACTATACACAGTCAATGGTTACAGATTATGAGTCACATTGACATGGTCAATATTTGCTCTTTGACAGCTCCTCCTTGATTGCTCACTCTTTACATTGTGAACAAAGCTGTACAATTGTTTAGAGCCTTATAGCTTTGCAAATTGGATATCTTAATTTTATTTTATTTAATATTTAGTGTTAAGTTAATTTAATAAAAGTGTGTTGTACTCAAGGGTTTTTACAGCTTATGGTGGCTGGATTACATAGCATTATAATCATGACATTCAGGTAATGTTTTGTGCAAACTCACACTGGACGAGAGAGAGGCAGACCAGTATAATGATCCACGGCCCATCCAACCATCAAACTCCTCAAACTCAACTTGCCCACGTTGAACACAGCTGGCCTCAGTGTTCTGCTCTTGAGGAAGGAGCTTTCCAATCTGAGGAGGACCAGGTTTGGAAAATACTTGTTGTCTTCTGAACCCATCAGATCAGTCTGTAACAAAGTTTCGAGACCAGCAGTCTTATGATGATGATTTTGGAGAATATGTGACTTCGAGATATATAGTTTGGTATTTGAAACCAAAGAGTAAAGCTAAAATACTAAAATCTACCAGAAAATAAGAGGGACACATTTGGTTGACATCAGCGAACTCAAAAATCAGCAACATGAAACTCATAAAATAGCCTTCAAATTTAAGTATAGGATAAAACGTCTAATGAAAATTAGTTAAAATCTGCCAGACATTTTATAAACTAAATCTTTACCAACTTACTAAATCATAAGATGCACTAGTACAGTTCTGACAAAAAACTTAAATAACGACTGAATTACATATTCAGTTGACTCACCACAATTTTCTTAACTTTCCGCGCCTGAGCTGTTCTAGTACCATTGAAGGAGTCCAACCCACCGTACACTAGGAATGAGTTGTTCCTGGGTCTGCCTGTCTGCTCCTGCGCTAGTGATGCGGACACTGTCATCACCCAGGAGAGAGACGCAAACACTCCGTTGTAGTAGTTACTGACATTCCTGCAGTTGTCAAAACAGAAAAAAGATAGTTTGAGCTAAGTGATTTGCAGCAAGAATTTTTTAATAATTACTAGCAGATAGCAATGTGAAAAATGGTGGTGATTGAAGACTGTTAGCATGGGGACGAAAACCAACCATAAGGAATGGGATATTAGATATTATGAATAGACATTGTATAAATTTATTCTCATAAAAGTGGGAGCATGTCCCCTTACAGCATTAATTAGCACCATTGTAAGAGTTATTTCTGTAAAAACAAGGCTCACAGAAAGCATTACTCTGTGTTCTCCCTCAGAAGGTGAATCCTAAAAAGCACTATTTCAAAATGTTATCCTACAATAAGAGGGATGTATTTAATTAATCTCAACACTTCTTCAATTCTTCGCAAGACAACAAGGCAAATCAGGTTTCACAATATTTAGAAAAGTCTCCTTCCAGTGTCCAACATCAATGCTATATTACACAAAATACTTGTAAGCACAACCTCTAAAAAGTCAACAAGAAATCAATGGATCAAGTGTTGAAGTAAATATTACATCTATATAGACTGTCGCACATATTTTATTAAAAAAGGACGTTATCTTTGACCATTAATACAACTATAAATTCCATTCATCATGTTAAATTTTTGTATCAGTGTTTTTAAATTAAATTCACCATAGTTGATGTGAGCCACCCACAGATTGCACTGATTACTAATTTCTGTCAATTACACAATGTTTTTTACAAAGTAAAACTGATGGAACTACTTATTATAACCTATTATAGCAACTGTAATGACGTCTCATCTATAACTATTCCATAATAGCACTGGGGATATGTCAGCAACAAAACATCAAGTAAAAAAGACACAAGCGCATTCTGTGACTGGCTCACACAAGTGCATTTATTAATAAAAATTTGTGACAGCTGGTCCATAATGGGATGTCTAAATCTGTATCCAATAGCATTGACTATAGTCAATAGTCAATTAAGAAACTGAGTGAACCACCCACAGAATGCACCTCAGGCTAATATTAATATTCTATTTGTTCCCTTAAAATAATTTTGATTTAAAAATGGTAACAATCTTTACATGGGGAGGGATGTCTAGTTCTATATGCCTCTAACAAATAAAGTTAATGACCATTCTTTATGATCAACCATTTTGACTAAGTTTGGATTTCTATAGCAACTGGTGGTTAAAAACGAATACCACTAAAACAATCATGTGTCTTGTTATTCATGTGCACTTACTTTTCTTGTTTAACTTCTATCAATGCTAAATATGGATATTCTGTAGGATCAGGTGCATACTGTTCACTACCCTTTGTAGTTAATACAGCAGTGAGATAGATAATGTCTAAAAGTAAAATACAAAATTTTAAATTCATGTTGAAAAAATACAACCAAAACCATAGTGACCTTAAAAAATGTTCTGTTTTAATGTATATTGAATTCTGTGAAATAGCTCAGAACAGAGAACCTGACTTTGCTCTGCGGTGAGTTACTGTATTAGTTTTCATCAAAGTTTAAGCGTAAATAGCATAAAATATATTTTTGTTGATAAATTTTAGGCACAGTTCACTGAATATATTCTTTGCATTTAACTTAAAAAAAAAACTCTAACACTTTCCCTACCCTAGGTAACTCTTTTGTATATCAGGAATGTGAATGTCGGTAGTTAATGAGTTGAATAAAGCTTAACTATTTTTATTGAACCACTCTATATTTTATCCTCCGAACAATCACAAAATGTTTGTGGAGGTCTAGGTTTCTTTTTTTATTCATCACCTCATTTCAAAGCACATGAATAAGCATCTATTGTCGGGACCACATAAGTTTGCAGTTGAGGGAGGAGCCTATTTACCATATGGTTTTCAACGAACCAATGAGAACGGTGTGGTGTTGCCAAATCTAACAATACCAACTGATTTGAAAATATAGCTTTGTATATTTTTATTAGTGATGTCAATGGGTGATGTGGCAACGTCGCACTAGCCTCGTCTTGTGATTGGCTGCCACCAACTGCAAACTTACGTGGTCCCGACAATAGTTACTTTTATGTAGAACCACAGATTAAAAAGTAGGCATGTATACAGTACTCCTTTAATCTGTAGTAAAAATTGTCATTTAATCTTTAGAGTAACTACAACAGTTATTAGCTACTGGTTTAAAAGGACCAATCAAAAATGTTCCTTGACAAAACTCAGAAACCCTTGTGCTAGGTTCCGCTACTTAGCCAAAATATTTCTTGTTTGGACCTTTAATGAGAAAAAAATTGACAACTTTATCATCAATTTTGGCACTGTCTTCTTGCCAACTGAAACCCTTGAGAAAAAAATTGACAACTTTATCATCAATTTTGGCACTGCCTTCTTGTCAACTGAATCAACTCAATTTCCAAACCTTTACATCTAACTCAACTTTTTTTATGTTAACTTAAAACATAATGCCGGCATACTTAAAACAGGAAGGAATCCACATAAAACCTATTTACCATCTCCAATAACTCCACTATAACAGCTCACACCCACCGAGCAGAGAATAAAAGCGAATTCTCTTTGCATAAAAGCAAACTCACAGAGCAGAGAATTTTTATTTGGCCTTACAGCCAGGCTATCAGAAGCAGGGGAATCTGTTCCACTGAAGAAGAGCTGAACAAATTCAACTAAAGCTTTCACAAGCCATGGATACCAGCAAACCTTTTTTTCCTTGATTGGGAGGTGTAAAGTGCAGTTAAGCACGCCATCAGTCCTTGAGGAGACTGTGTGACTCACACATCCATCCGACCTCAACCATACCCACTAAGAGCACCTCCCCCTCCACTCAGTTGTGGCAGGGTGATCACAGCGTTTGGCGGGAGTCCACCGTATCTTGCTGGAATGACAACTCTGTAACAACATGATTTAGTGTTTACATGGCGGTTGGTTTCGCCTGACTCTGCATGCCAAAGGGTACATACTGTGTGGTTGGGTTTCTTACTGACTGACTGACTAACTTACTTTGCATGACCTAACCTGAGCATGCTGAGAGGTGATTGATCCGACTGACTGAGCTTCTTCTTGGTGAAGGTGAGCAACGGCCTGAGTGACTGAACTGACTGACTGACTAGCTAGGCCCTAATGTAACATGCTGTAACCTAAGGTGGGTTGTCCAGGATTGCGACTGGCCGTGGCCTCCATAGTCCTCTGATAGTTCGAAGTGCCTGCACAACTCTCTGATGTAATCTGATCATATGTAGATTCGGCGACTTTGTGGAAAAGTTTCCTTGATTTCCTTATGGTAAATTACTCCAGCGTTGGGACTCCGACTGATGCTCTGATATTTGAGTTTCTCACGAACCATGGCTGTCGCGTAATCCGTCGTACAATCCGTGATTGGATGACTTCTTGTCGCTTCCTGTTGACCTGTTCATCTTGCTGACCAGTATCCACCAAAGCCTCTGAAGCATACATCATGCAGAAGCGTTCTAATAATAGGACATGCAAACTATGGTGTTGATTGAGAGCAGGTTATGACGTCAAGCATAGGCTACATCGCTACATCAGTCCAAGGACCACCTTCGCCTCATTGACTTTCTTGTCAATGTGTTGTGTAAAGCATAGCCTTGAGTCGAGCGCCACCCCTAAGTACTTAACAGTGTCGTGTCCCGGGATTGGCTCATCGTCCAGCTACAGCTCTGTCAGAGGAGCTCGTGGCATCCTCAGACGTTTCCTGAAAACAGATAGTAGAGCACAAACACACTCAAAAAAGGTGTAACAGAATTAAAAACTACTAGCTAACCTGTTGCTCGAAATCAAGCAAAACTGCAACTTGTAATAAAAAAAAATTACAAAAACATAAACAGCAAGACCTCAATCAAAGAGTAATAAAACTATGCTACAATGGTCCAAAATCTTTGTTTTTTACATGCATAAACCTCTATAAATTGGGTAAAAAAGTCTTGGGAGAATATTTTTACCATAGCCAACCTTAAAACAATTAATTTGATATATTTTGTTAAAATTAAAACTTTTAAAGCCCAAGCAAAAGATTGTACTGCAAGAAACGTTGCAAGCTCTGAGTAGTCAATTTTTTAGATAACGTTGATCTGACTAAATAAACGTGACCAACATAGTAGGGGTGTTTTAGTGAGTAGTTTGAACAATGCAGAAGTCTCATGACTACAGGCCGGTTAGGCATATTTATTTGCATTTTACCACAGCCACACAGAGGTGGCTGTGATTTTACCTTCTCTACCTGAAATACATCCAAAGTCTTGGTTTCGCCTTCAATGGTAGCGACGCCATGTATTCGTAAGTGTCACTCAATTGCAGTTTCCATAAAAACGGCGCGGATTCTTTTCGTCTCCTCCTGCTCTGTCCAGTGGTAAAACTCACACAGTTGGAAGGACTAGGACTTAAAACGTTTTCAATAATGTATTGAAGTATAACTGTAACGTTATAGTTTAAAACTGTTTATAGCTATTTTATTAGTACATTGAAATCTCGAATGTCTATGAAATTGCGTGAAGGAATACCTACTCAATATAGATAGGCCTATTAAAATAGTTTCTGTTAATTATTATTCTCATGCTTATTTCACGTTTAGTTAATAAGGAACTTTACAGTGTTTCTTCGTTTTTAAAATGCAAACAGTATGTACCTCTTGAAGTTTGTATCTTTATTTTAATGGGTCTGATTTTGTTTGGGTAGTTTTAGTGACTTTTGCCCTGTAAGTTTTAGTATTATTATTGCAATAAACGATTCTGAATCGAATTCTGACGTCTTACAAGTCTGCTAATAGCCTGCTTTGTTATTTTTATACACAGGGTGTGGGGTTAATTAGGCTAAATACAAAGAAAAAATTGGAAATAAGTTAAGTGGATGAAAATAAAATGAAAATTGAGAATACTTGTCCCAAAATCAATCTGTTGGCGAGATAGTAGTTATATATCGATGGATATTCCTTCGCCGTTTTTTTGTGTGTTTGAATTTATATTTGAAAAACGATTTAAGACATCTTTACCATTATATGAGTGTACTAGACGTAATTTAATACGATTCTAAATTACATTAAGAATATTTAAGATGAAGAATTAAAATTACGATACAATTCAAGGAATAAAATAGGCCATACTACTCCTCACAGAGTACTTTACTTTTACCTTGACCAACGCAGATTCGCTTTCAGTGGAAGATCTTCAGAGAATACAGATTAAGTAATAAAGATTAAGTCAGGTAATAGTCAGGAAATTCCATCAGGGCTCTGCCCCAGTGGCTTTTAAAGTTTCCATGTTATCCTTATGGAGAAACGATTTGTTTACATTTGAACACATGAATACATTTGAATCTGCGCTATATATTAAGGGAGCTGCTGGAGCTGGTTATATTTTATGTGGTAAAATGAAAATATTTACATCGTGGCTCGAAAAAGTGTTTTACTACATAATATATCAGATTTTTAGTAGTTATATGAATTAAAAAATCAAGAAGTGCAGGCCCAAGTTACTCAGGTTAAACAATTATAAGTCATGAGTCATTTATTCAGCCAAATCAACCAAATACAATTAGCGTTATAGCTATGTCAAAATAAACTAAAATAAACTGGAGTAAAACTAAAATTCCAAATGAATTAAACGACAGGTTTGCTAGTATAGTATAAGAGAGTATACTTGTATATGTGTAAACTGAAGCAGTCCCACTACAGGTACAAGACCTCAGTACAGCAGTTCTGTAGTGTATATGAGATAAGACCCACCCACTCAGTGACGCAATAGGACCACCGCCTTACCAAAACCAGGCAGGTGTCCAAATGTCACGGGCATAAGCGCAAATTTTCGGAATTCTTTCACCTTATAAGTGCTGGTTGCCCAAGTTATTGCTGTTATTGCTGGAGGAGGGGGATTTGTGTTTACGTTAATTCTGAAAATGCCCAATGTAAGAATATCCAAGTGATCATTGTATTAAAATACAATGAATAGTTTCATTTTAAAATACACGCCTTATTTGTTACAAATTATGGAAAACTTGCGTTTATATTTGATAAGGAACCAAGGAACAAACGAGAATTAGAAAATCGTCTCTAAATTAAGAGGAAATTATTCAGCCAACATTGTACCATTCAAGCGTATATTAAAATTATACACAAAATTAAACTTTATATTTTACAGTAGGATAAGAAGTCTACATAGAGAGTACCAAGTTAACGACAATTATTCGTGACTAAATTCTTATATGAGAAGGATTTGCAGTTCAAAAACTTGAAAAGGCGCTCCTTTTCAAGTTTTTGAACTGAAAATCCTTCTCCGCGAGTGAGGGACAAAGAAACGTCTTCTCGTATTGCTCGGATATAATTGATAATTGTCTAGCAATGTTTAGTCCAAGAAAAAGCAGGCCAAGATGATTTGCAAATTATATAGAGAGGTGGCTTCAGTTATACAGGGTGTCCCGTAACTCTCTGGACACATGTATATAGTGTTATTGCTTAGGTCAAGACAAACACATTTCTAGGAACATAGGTCTGTAGTTTTCCGTCTATCTGTATTTATGTGTTTTTTACAAAGAAATTAATAATTCCTAAACCGTTTGAGATGCAGCGTTGAGACTTTGCAAACATGTTTATCTTGTTAAGATTTTTTCGTTTAAAATTATAGTAAAAAATCATCAACCGTTTAAAAATAGTACCTAAAACCGTTTAGGAGTTATTAATCTCTTAAAAAAACACATAATTTATACTGATTCTTGTATTGTTTGTTTAAAAAAAATCCAGCAAATTTAGTTATAGTATGTAAGAAGCATAATTGATTTATTTTAATTGTTTGTAGTGGTAACATTGTTTCTTTTTTCATTTCCCTCACAAAGTTTGATTTCATTCATAATTCTGTATCTCATGGCAGGCAAATCTCGTAGACATTGTAAGTACAAAATATTATTATCCATTATAATCTAGGAAAGTTAAATCTGAAATTAAAATTTGTATTGAAAATACTATTGAACATGGATATGGGAAAATAATATTCACTGTTGGTTAACCTCAAATTCTAAAATATGTTAAATTAGGTTATAAGTATGTTAACTTGCAAAAAGCACGTTGTACGAAAGAAAATGGAAATTGAAATTTATATTTAGAATAGTTATATTAGTAATATTTATGCATTTGTATATTTTTTTACAGACGAGTTCCTGTATTAAAATAGAGCTCTACGGAAGGTCATCTTAAAGTAAGATTGTTTCAATTAAATAATTATTTAGGACTGAGATACAGAGGTATAATTTAACTAAATGAAAAGTATATAATTTGTTATGATTTCATTTATTTTATTAATAAATTGTCAGTGGTGTACACAGAAATGAAATGGCTTCTTTTTAACTTAGGCTAAATCCTATTGAAGTTATATAGTTCTGTATTATAAATTATTACATTTATACTTGTTTATTGGACCTTACGAGTATAAAATAAAGACAGACTAGGCACCGCAAACCCAAGTTCCTATGGTGAAATATGTTTGTCATGACCTAATCAATAACGCTATTATATACATATGTCAGAGAGTTACGGGACACCCTTGTATAAATCGGAGGTTTTAGGTTTTAATCAAAGCTTTTGTGCTGAATAGAATCAGCTGCAAATTACGTTAGAATTAGGAAGAATTACGTTAAAGGTCCCATTACAGTGATCAATGATGAAGATAGCGGAGAATTTTGAAACAGCACTTGCAAGATGGAGCCATAATAAGGGGCTCTGGGTTCCGAAAAGTTCGTGATCCAGTTGATTAAATAAAATGGGATAAAATTACAAAGGAGAGTGTACTATTAGCTGCTGCGCTCTTAAAGGGCCTGGGCTACTCGATGGTTACTTGTTTAATGGGCCGATAAAATACTTCCTTGTCAAAGACATGAGAATCAGGAAAGAGTTTTTGAGACGATTGAAAACACAAAAGTGGTTCCTTACACATAAGCTAACCCAAAATAAAACAAAATGGTGTATAAAAATAACCTCGTAGGGATTGGTTTAGCATTAGCCACATTAATTTCGTAGCTGGAATACTTTCCAATATATAGACCATTCTCAACGATTCATAGATATCTCTTTTTACATAATATATGTTTAAGTTTAGTAATCGTGAGTTTAAGGTTTACTCCAAACCACCATGTTATGACTAATTACAACTCGAACTGTCATTGGGTTTGGACAGATTTCAACTCGTAAACTTTACTTTAATTAGGTACCTATCTATCAATATGGCTGGACGGATTTCAACGTTTGAGGTGTCAAATTAAAGGTATTTTCACTTGGATGTGTTCCTTAGAATATTAAGAACGTCTCAGAATATTAATGATTTAAGTACAGTCAAAATGCTAAAATTTAGGAACTGTGGTGATATCCGTATATATTGGAACAAAGTCAATTCACTTGTTTACAGCCAAACATATGGGCATGGTTTGAAATAGTTCTTAAAGTTTCCCATCTATAT